TTAGTTGTTAGGTAAATCTATATAATTGCAAAAGTAATTTCAAGAATCTTAATAAAGTACTAGCGTGACTGCTTAAGGGAAAAAAAATAAAATAAAATAAAATAAATTTACAAAAAAAGACTTATTAAATAAAATCTGTGAAATTGCCTCCTCACCTGCTAGAGATATGTCAAATATTAAAGACTTGTTAGAAGATGTATATTTATGAAACTATCTCTTATCTAATTATGGAGCAAAAGAAAGAATCAGTCTGCTTAATGTGTACACACAGGAAGAATTAGTTAATAGATTAGTCTTTCAAGTAGAGCAAGGAGGTTATTATAAATACTCAGTTGTAGATAATATTTCAGAAGTATATAGTTTATCTGAAATACATGAATGTATTAATGGGCAATGACCACTAAGGGCTGTAATTGATATTAATGCATTACAAGAAAATATGGAATCTAAAAAAGTTAATACAAGGGATGTATTTATTCATATTTGTTGTTCATATATAAGAGCATTATATATGATTCTTAATTGTAGCTAAGAAGAGATTTTCAAAGAATTAGTAATTGCCACATCTTCTAATTTCAGTAAATGCAGTTACCATCTCCTGTACATACCAGTTCTCCTTATTGATTATCAGAAACTCAAACAATTTACAGAACTGGTACATAAATTAACAAAAGAAAAATATGATAAGTTTATTGATTGAGGATTATCTGAGTGAAACTTTAATTTCTGTCTTATTGGATTAGCAAAAAAAAATCATATAAAGTGTATACTCCAATTCTTACTAGATAATGGATGGGATGAACTCAATTATGCAAAAGTACAACCACCTAATAGTGCAGAATTTGAAGTAAAACCTCACATACTTAGTGCAAAAAAAATAAATAATCAAAAGAAAATAATAGTAGGACAAGATTCATTAAAAAAATATGTGAATCAAGTTTTGCAGAAATATTCTGATTATCTTAGAAGCTAAGATATTAAAGAAAAAAATTCTTAATATTTTGTATACTTTAACCAAAAAGCATATCTAGAATGTCTAATTTGTAAACACACATATGACAAAGATCAGCAGTGGTATGATTATATATATAGATATGGATTATTTGTTATAAAATGTTTTCAACAAAGTAAAGATGAATGAGAAGTAATTTTTAATGACTCATTTATTACAAAAAAAATCTAACAGAAAAATAAAAATAATATTCTACCACCAGTTATACGTAAAATAAAGAGTCCAAAATTTCTATGGTCTTTTTTAGAAATGTCAGCTTGGGTTAATTGTGATTCCCTTTTTATTGCAACAGAAGTTTATAAAGAGCAATATGTGGAACCTTTACCTAATAAAAGAGATGTATATGTAGGCTCATTTTGGAAAACAGGAAAAACTCATAACTTAGAATATCTTACTATTTCCAATAGTATAAATTTGCTTGTTTTATCTACATGACATACTTATTCTAGTGCTGTTACTACAAGACTGAATCTTAAATTATACTGTAATATTGATACTAAAGATATAAACCTCTCAGATCATCAAAAAGTGGTATGTCAAATAGAAAGTTTGCATCATATTACCAATAAATATAAATGCGAGAAAAAATATGAGTGTTCTCTAATACTATATAATTTATAGCTAGATAAGGTAGTATCTGTGATTAGTCAAGTCTATACTTGCTTAGCAGGTTGATCAAGAGAGCATTTATATAAGTTAATTCATGAAACAAGACATATTATTGTTATAAATAATGACCTTACTAACCTTAATATAGAATAGATTAAAAGCCTTGATAAAAATAAACCCTTCTCAGTTATCTACAACACTTACCAACCTCAGAAAGGTAAAACATTCTACTTAGCATCTAATAAAGAAACTGTATTAACTAAACTTTGAGATTGGACAAAGCAGATGTCTTCATTATTTTTTGATAAATGAAAAAGTGCATCACTCATCTGCCACCTCAGAAAAGATATGCAAGAAATCATTCGTGCTCTTAGAACTGATTTTTCTGGATTATGTATTAAAAATTATCATGATAAATCCAATCCAGTAGAAAAGGCTTATGATTTTAGTGATATAGAAGAAGCATGAAAAGAGGTAGATCTTCTTGCATATATTAGCACTTTAAAAATAGACATTTCTTGCATCAATCCCAAGTTTGAATGAGCATTCTGTATCTTTAATAGTTAAATAAAAACAAATGCTGAGACTAATCAGATATTATTCTGTATATGAAGCATTAAAGATTATATATGTTATATTGAGCAAAAATCATCAAATGTTCCAATTACAGAAGATAGGTTATTTAATTGGTTATTGAAAGCAAAGCAAGAATGTCTTCCTTAGGAACTCCAGAATAGGAGGGTATTTCCAAATATAGAGTCTATCATTCGAAATAAAGATATCCCAACTATCTGATTATAGGTGATATATATGTTAAAGAAATTTCAATCTCGTCACTTATTTGGATGAAGAATAGTAGATTTTCTTAAAAAAGCAAGTATGGTCATTTCAATAATAGAAGCTACTCCTAAATCTGAAGAAGATTCTGTATCATTAACTAAAGTAGTAAAAATATGTTCTTCTGTTATTAAAGCAGAAGAAATTTCAGATATCACTAACATTAATATTCTTAATTACAAGATGGTTGAGCATCTAGAAAACAAACCAAAGAAGACTTTAAAAGAAATGTATGCTTTAAACTAGTATAATATTGCAGAATGTTATAGGATACCACCTGAATCTCTAATCAAAGAATTTATTACAGATTATGATAAATATGATGAAATGAAATGGTTTAGAAATCTTTAGAAATTACGAGATGCAGGTATTGATAATAAGACTGCACTTAAGACAATTACTCATAAAGATTATAGAAATAATAGGTTCACAAATGTTACTAGAGCTAAAAAACATCGAATCTGTCTGGAATTAATAAAGACTTGTACACCTATTAGAGATATTGACAATAGAAGCAAATACAAAGCAAATGATACTAAAAGATGCCTAAATATACTCAAATTAATACAATATCTTCAAAATTTAGTACCAAAAATGGCTTGGGTTTTTGATAATACAGACACATCTCACAGTGCTAAAAAATCTGACTTAAAATTAGATAGAGCAAAACTTGGTTTATTAAATTCAGCACTTTATGCAACTTATAGTTCAAAACTTAAAGATACAAATAATAAGCATACACATTACCATCTAGTAGGTATATTCAATAAAGAAAGTGCACAAAGTTACTATTATACCAAACAGGTGAAGGACAATTCTATAAAAATAGTAAAGATATGTATTACAAGTATAGTAAACTCTCACTTAACGAACTAGAGATTGCTCCTAGTTGTGATATACAGTTGCGACAGGATATGTTTGATATCTGTTAATATATGTATCTATTTAATAATAACTTATGATATATCTTACAAAGGAGGTTTTTGTGACACTTAAAAAATATGATTAGAAAAAATTTGTCCACACAGCTATATTATATTACAGAAGAGATTTTTGTGTCATCTAAAATGTCATATACTAAAAATTCTATCTATTGTAGACAATGAATTTAAAATTTGAGGTTTTACTTCTTCTTTGAATCTACTCACAATCTTGAATAATAAACCTTTTTATCTCATTTGATAATTTAATAAATGAAATCAACCAGAATGTTTTGGGCAATACCTCATAATAGATATAGTAAGCTTTTTACAGATACTGCAGAGAATTTTCTCAATATTTTTCTTATATAAACTCCAATATCTATAACAATCTGTAGGATGCCAACATTTGTTTCTGCAAACAGATCCATCTTTTTTAATATAAGGACAAATAGTATAATTCATGAAAGTATTCTAGGATGAAATATATAATATATGTATAAAATTCAAATATAAATATTAATTTAAATATTTTGAATTTATTATGAGATAAAATAACTTTACATACTGATACTATATATATATACTAAAAAAATGTATAAATTATATACTAAAGAGCCAGAATATACTAAAGAAACAATTACTGCTAAGCAATTATCCAAATTGGCTAATTGTTGAAGAAAGCCAAAAATTTATAATCTCAAAACAAATCGCATGATTACAATTGATAGACCAACATATAATAAATTAATACATAATGGATATGTGCATTGAAAAAAGCTCTTGATTTCTTCATTACTATTCGAAAATTATATTAAAAAATAAAACATAATAATAAGCTGATATATTATATAGCCTGAGTAGCCACAACTCGAAGCTATAAATTTTTTTTGCTATATCCTATATGTTAGTAAATTTCAAATCAACATCCTACTTACCCTATAGGTATAGATAAACTCTTTTTTCTGAGTATAAGAGAAAAAAATGTAATTAATTGCGAATTAAAAAAAATAAGTAGGTTAATCTATAATCACATTCTATTTATCAATATAGATTATTTATATATCTATTATAGCAATTGTCTGAAAAACTAGAAAACCTAAAACTAATAGCTTTACCTCCATTTAGAATTAGGTCTTCAATAAATATAACCTATTAGTTGAATCAAATCTGCTTCAATTACATGCTTATGCTGATGAGCTTAGTACTATGTTATCAGATTGGAAGGCTTGTAAAAATGTGAAAGAGACTCCCATTGGCACTTATTCAAAGAAAATCAAATAGAAGCTCTGGTTCCAAATAACAAAAAGAAAAGGCTTACTATCAAGAAAAGAGCTTAATATTGTACAAAAACTAAAAATGTGTGGAATATTTGATTACATGTTTTAGACTTAGCTGTGCCAAAAAATAATACAAATAAAACAATTGTGGCAGCCAGTTCTTATATTTCACAATTTTATAGAGAGTTAGCAGAAGCTAGGGTTGGTTCTGAGCAAATTTATATATATGTCAAATTACTAGAAATTATTTGAGCTTCTAACGAAATTCAAAAGAGACAACTTGAATAGTGATTATCCAATCTACTTAAAACTTCCAAACACTTTTTCTTAGAGAAAAAACTTAGAAGAATTCAAAATATCAATACTACTAAAATTCCTACTATGCAAGATCTTGCAGATGTAATTATGATGTTGAGTATGAGACCTGCTGAAGTTGCCACTTTTTGTATTATCCATTATGAATCTAGTGAATCGAATCCTTCTAAATAGTACAAGTCTGACTATTCTTGGTATTGTATTGAGTATATTAAAAATAAAGAAGTAAAAAATAATTCCAAATCTCAGCAATTTCTATCCATAAAAAAGAATCCAAAATATGCAAAAGAATTGCTTACCTGGATTCAAGATGCAATAGCAACTAGAAAGTTACACAATTCTGTCTATAGTATTAATAAAAAATACAGTGCAGGAGTATTTAGTAAATTTTTAAAATCATATGATATTATAGCCAAAAGATTAAGAAAAATTAGAGGTAAACATGCTTCTAGAGTTCATAATAATCAAAATCCAACTTCGCAACATCTCGAATTCCTTAGCAGAGTTGTAATGAGATATAAGATGGATCATTATAATTCTGAAATGTATTATGTCAAGAGTGATACTTCTAATTCTAACTTTGATGCAGATCCAGAACCTGAACCTGAAGCCCTAGTTCCTATATTTAAGTCAATTAATAAGAATACTTCTGACATTGAAGATATTTATGACTTATATAGAAGTATTTAAATTAGTTCATAACTTATTTATTCATTTACTATAATCCAGCTTTATTGCTTTGGACCTGCTTTATAATAATTAGACTTATTAGATATTTTTTAAGTAAAGTTATATATGCAAACCAACTTCATAGAATTACCTTATTTATATTAAGAAAAATAGGAGCTGATCATGTTTTCAGAATACATGAAGATAAGAATGATACTGGCCATCAATATTTATGACAATTGGCATGTAGGCATAAGATAAGCTATGCTTCATCAGTCAAACATTATGGTGTAATGAATGACAGACCAATTGCTCCAATGATTAGAGAAAAAAAATACTAAGATATCAGATATTATAGATCTATACAATTACTAATCATGCTTCTTTGCTTCAAAAACTTATATATGTATTTCATTCTTGTTAATGCTAGAATATCTGGAAATACACATTATGGATTACAAATAATTTTATTTAGTAGTAGAGAATGGGTAATTATTTACTAAGTTATTTTTTCGATTATAATATATATCATTAAATAATATTACAGAAAACACATTATTCTGGCTATAAAATGAAATAGATAATTAGGTAATCAGATATTTGATAGCCTCCAGCTAATTTCAAACAAAGAATTTTTATTTGCTATGATGTATATATATCTGTAATAATTTTCCTTGTTTTACTTTTAATTCTAGACATGGGCACTAATTGTTGCTAACTGATTTTTTGACAAAAATCTCATGCAATTGTTGATGAGAGACATTTAAAAATAATGGTAGTCCTTTACTAGTAAACCAAAATTTCTTTACTCCACTATTGATAAATTTTTGTATTAATACACTTGGAACATCTTCTAAGAGATTATAAAATTCTTTAAACTTTCAGAAGTACACTCTTGCATTTTTATTGGCTTCTTCTACTATTTTTTGATTAGTATAACCAACAATATCAAGTTCTTCCTAAATTATCACTATATCATCTTCTAAGGATAAAAGCAAATTAAATAATCTAATTGGTTTATCTGAAGAGGTTTTATTCCTTCTAACTTCTGTTTCTAAAATAGGATTGATATCTATATCAAGTTTCATCTGTATAGATATTAAATCTCTCACTAATTCTAACAGCAATTCATATAAATTGACAAGTTCTTTTGATTTCTTACTCTTTGATACTGCTGTTTGATTTATATTATTATTAATACTAAGTTTTTTCTGAATAGCTATTATATCTTTTTTCTTATATAAAAACATCTTATATAATTGAAAAATTTTTTCACTTGGATTAGTATTATTATTAGTATTACTCATCATGATTATTATAATATGATAATATAATTAATATGAAAAAATATATAAATTAAATGAATAGAGCAAATTTAATTTGAAAATAATTATAATTACATTGTAACTTCGAAATCACATGACATTATAATGAGTCTCAGTAGAGTGATGCCATGTGTTTTAAATCCACAAATCAGAGATCAGCATAGAAGTATTTTAGTACTAACCAACTTACTAATCACACCTATTGCAGAATAATGACTCTTTGGGTTTACCTTTAAGCTAAATTATTTATCCACGATTGCCAGTAAAGATTAAGCAATTCTTATCATACTAAATAATTTATGAATGAATTGATTACTAAATCTGAAATTAGTTTTTTAAAAATCTGCAAATTAGGTTTGTTAGTTATGAGAAATAAACTATATAAAAAAGCTAAATATAAGTAATTTTGTTGTTAAAAACTTATCTGGTATCTAATCATTATTATGTCTCTTACTAATCTCTAAAACTTTACTTTTAATATTTTAAAAAAAACAAAACATAACATAGTACAAGATATCGTTGTTACAGAATTGCTGCCATGTAAACTATGTGAAAACAAAATATTATCTGTTAATTTCAAATCATTTACAATACTTTCATGTGAACATACATATCATAAAAAATGTATAAAAAAAAAATTTTTACTTACAACAGAAAACAAATAACCTTTATCTGATTGTAATAAAATCATTGATCCAGTAGTATCTGAACAAAGGTTTTCTGAATCATCATCTCAGTCTAGTAGAACTTCTGCTCTTGCAGAAATATTAGATGATGACTTTGGATTAGGTTCTCCAATAAATGTATCACTATTATTACCCTTACTTAATGAGACTACCTAAAAAAAATGTACTAGGGAATTATCTACATCTACCAAAAAATCATCTAGCAAAAAAGTGAAAAAAACTGATGAAAAGAAGATATCAAGCATAATAAAACAACTTATCAAAGAATTATTAACTGAGATTTCTGATAATGATAGGAACTTAGAAGAAACAAGTGAAAGCATAAGTAACTTTTTACAACTCTCTGAAAGGATTGATCATGCTAAAACTAAAAACGAAGAAGCATCTTGAGGTCTTATTTTCAGTTATTTTAATTTTGAGGAAGCTGTAGTTAGACAATACAAGGAATTAAAACCCACATTTGGCAAGGATAGATCTGAAATGATAGTTAAAAAAAAGGTTAGAGTGATAATTCCCAAGACAAAATACTCTGATGAAGCTTTGCTAAAAAGGACAGAGATATCCAAAAAAATTTACAATCTTTTTAATAGCATTGGGAAAGAAAAAATAACCTAGATTAGATCTATTCCCTCATCATTCATCTTAAATCTAACTGTAGATAAAACCAAATATGTAATGGCTGAAATCTTAATGCATAAGATTTGTCGAGCTCAGACAAGCTTGTTTAGCCTCAGTCATCATTTTTATTTGTGTGATGTGCAATAAATAATTTCATAAAATATGTGAAATACTGCGCTATAGATTATCACTTGACATACATGATTCATTTATTCTTCTGCACAGTTTGACAAGCTCAGACAAGCTTGTCCAGACTCCATCATCAAAAAAAATAATCTAGTCATAAATGCACAGTTATTTCGGAAGATAAATTTAACTTGAGCTTATATGCATGTCCATCAGGAAAATATAAGGTTCGAGAGATAAATTTAACCGGATGCTGATCCAGCTTCTGCTCAATTTTGACGCACGAAAAAATTCTGTGCCAGGTTGGTGGCGCAGCAAAATTGTTTAAAGTTCATTAATGTTTGGGTTAGCGTTTAGAATAAAGTTAAATGCTGAATAGTTATGTTGTAAAATTGCTCAAGGAAAACCTTCTGTTAGAGCACTAAAAGTGGTTTTTTATGCAGTTTTTGAGAAATAAGCAATCTTTGACAAAACGAACGTTTTTTTGAACTTTTCTGATCGTGTTACGTTACACCTGATCCTTGAAATATGATTTGTTGATTGACAATCTGCGCCATAATGATCGACAAAACCTGCACAGAATTTTTTTGTGCAATTTTGACGAGCTCGGACAAGCTTGTCCAGACTCTACCATAGAAAAATAATATATTTTTTTGCACGTGCATTTTATTCGTAATCATTTGCCCAAATTCCCGTTATGCTTGGCCGATCATCTCGTGATTTATCATTATCTCATGTAAAATTTATCCGTATCACCCCCTCAAAAATAAATTTTTTCAGAGTAGGGATATGTGAAACCTTATCTAAAAAATATTCTGATTACGTACTTTTTCTATTTTCGAATTTATGAGAAAATAGGGGCTTATTGTTATGGATAGCTAATTTGTGAGACGGGGCACAAGTAGAAATTGCCATTTTTCATTTTTCTGGAATTAGTACCTAACCAAAGTCGGTCAATTAACTCATGCCACATATCGATATGTTCTGAATTTATTTTGTGGGAGCCTAACTCCGAACCGAAATAACGATTTTGACCTCTATAACTCGTGATGCATACACTTACATATAATTTATAGAAATTCTCTGCGTGGAAATACATGCTTCAACTTCTATCGTAGAAATTTTTTGATGTAAGAGCACATGTTTTTGCTTCATCTAACCTTTCTAACAGTTTGAGTTTCAGAGAAGAGATGAAGAGAAATATATAAAAAGGCAGTATCTCGAATTTATTGTTATTTGTCGCTTACTAGTGATTGTTTCTTGCGTCAAACTATAAATCAATAACTCATTTCACCATGTCCAATTCTACCTTGTATAAAACCTTTTATAATTTTTTACTCGAGTCACCGCCAGCACATATCACAGCATTTTCTGTCATTTATCAAGTAGTAGAGGATGATACGTGGAATTCAAAAGATGATTTAAGACAAGCGGTTCACCAGGCAGTTACAAAGCTAAAAGGCGGTTATGATAAGAACTCAGAAAAGTATCAAAAACTTGATGAAATCTCTTTGAAGGTTAGTAATTAATCTATTATCATGTTTTAACACCAACTGATGATTGCGCAAAATAACATATAGCCAATCTAAGTGAACACCCATGAGCCTTGTGGGCACAGGGTTAATCAAATTTATTAATTCCTCAGACACAAGGGGGTGGGATCTTAGTTCTGGTTTGTGATGAAATATTTATACCATTCATGTATATTGTCAATTGTATGCTGGCCACATATGGTTGACAATTTTACATGAAGTATTCTGATGGGTGTGCGCACACTATTATTATACTACAAGTTTATCTGTACATACTAACATAAGGTTTTTGCGCTAGTTCGATGATGCATATGAAGGTGTATGCAGTCTTAAGAATATCAGAAAATCAAACCAAGAAGACGAACTCACTCCGAATGAAATCGAGACGAACTTGCGATCATTAAAAACTAATCTTGCAAGTAGCGAAGCTCCATATGCACAACATTTTCGAAAGTATTTAAAGAAAAAGAAGAATACCTCAAACCTATCATGGGAAGTCCCACTTGCAAGTCAAGTAATTTGTGCAGATTCAGAAATGGTGAAATTATTAGAAAAAGAAGACGTAGAAGCATACAACTTTTTTATGGTAAGAAATTTTAGAGTCTTATCTAGTTCCGCTAATATATTTGTTATATTATCAAACTAGAATTAACGTAGCTATTATTTTGAACTCAATAGGATCCTGCGGAACGTATGAAAGTAGCAACTCCTTCCGTTATAAAAAATAAGTGTGATGAGTTTGTTAATAACTTCATGGACAGTATTACGGATATTTCAGATAACAGATTTTCGCACGATAAAAGCTGGAAGGAATCTGACGAAAATCTCGCAAAAGTTACTACGGACATCCTTGAAATATTGTGAGTATTTAAAAATAATTTGCAAATTCGGTTTGAAAATGTTTTTAATAATATTCTTTTATAGAAGGGATGTCTGGAAAAATCCAGCTTTCGGACAGAAGTTAGCCAAATCGCAAAGCGAAGGTACATACATGACAAATGTGATTGTTCCATTGATTCGTGCATCATTAAAAGACCTTCCAATTGGAAAGTCTGGCTACATTAGCATAGCGGAACGAGAAAGTATAGCCAGTAAAGACCGAAGAGGGGTTGGAAAGCGACCAGATATTATGTTTATCGCCAGTTGCAATAATAGGTCGTATGAACTAATATTTGCAGAGAGTTCTCGTATCGTTTGCGATAAACAAAAAAAGGATGATGATGAGGTGAAATTATGGAGGGAGATGAATGATGGTATGTACTGGGCTCACAAAGGATGTAAACCAGACAAAGATAACTTCGGTATCATTGGAATTCAAGTTAGAGGAATCGAAATGCGCTTAAATACTATTGTTCGGGGCGTGGACGAAATAGATAGACTCTATAATTTATTTACAGTTGAGATTCCAATACAACCAACGGATGAAGATATTGTTTTTAGATTTGTGGAAGCATTATTGACATTACGAGTATGATATCCCACTCAAATTCGTAGATTTTTTTTAAGCTTAATAAGTAATTTTATAAATTTTATAGAATATCCTGCACGTCAATATATCTCTCCTGTTTTATGCACCCCCAATTAGTTCAAGTAGTAATACAGAAAATAGTTCTACGGTATCTTCTCCACGTAGAGAAGAAGAAAAAATAAGAACAAGAAAGGTAAGTGACGTAAATCCTCCTTTGCATGAAGGCAGGGTTTTAAAGAAGAAAAAATAGTGCAATGTTTTAGAATATATATATCTTCCTGTATTTTTTTCATTTTGTACATTAATAAAGCTGGCCCTGGTGGCTGATTTCGCATACGTAATCAGTTTACTTTTGCATGTGTATTTCGGGAATTTATTTTATCATTTTTACAAGTGTATTTTTTAACTTATACTGTATACTGTATGTGAATCGGATTAAAAGTCGGAACAAAGTTTAAATGATATTTCATTTTTACATTGAACGAAATTTAAATGCGGTGTTTCATTAGGGTGTAATCCTATATTACGAAATTATAATTATTTTAATCTGGCACAAATTTGAATAATTGGGTAATTTTTCGCGAAGCAAATTGAATTTTTTTTTGTTTATTTCTTTTGAGTCATTTCTAGAAAGAATAGTTTAAGGTACCAATCAACATAGTAACATATATTTATTCATGTAATTTATCGCCATGCATAGTAAAATTCTTGCATATAATTTAAACCGTTCTTTTTACATGTTTTGGCGTTACAAGAAGATAGATATATCGATTATATATGATTTCTTGTGTACATGCCTTTCTGTTAAATAGTTAGGGGAAATAAAAATTTTTTAGCAAATAAAACATTTGTTTTTATTCAAATAAATTCATAACATTGCAAGTAAATCAAGTAAATAAATCGATAAATTTGTGTTAAACTTTTTTTATTCTTGTTAGAATTAATTATAACTATCCAAAAGCTATCATGCTTGACAAAGTTTTCATCATCTTGGTTACCTTCATGCTTCGAGGCACATTATCAGGAAATGCAGTAACCTTTCAAACACCGGATGTTCTTACCATTTCTTACATCAAGAATAGTCCGAATTTTTATGATGATTGTATTGAACAGTTGAAAGATGTAGGAAATTTGATCTCCAGAACGGTGGCTTGTGAAGCATTAAATGGTCAACAAATGATAATCCGCCCACCTCTTTTTCTGACATGAATGACATAAGTGGTGACTTTGATAAATGGGCCAGAAAAAAAGAATACAGGAAATACATCCATATTCCCAGCTTTAACATTAAGTGTAATGCTAAAGGTTATCTTGTCACTGCTAATCCCTGTGATCCTGATTACTGTAATAAAAAAAATCTGACCAAAAATCCAGAACAATATGACGATGCCGAATGCAATCCTTATAGGTATACTAAAATACCTTCATCAATTAATCCTTCACATAATCCAATTACTTATAAATATGAATCGGCTGATATTTACACAGAGGATCCCACATTTATTGGGTTTCAATCGAAACCTAAAACATTCAATAATAATGATACTTGCTTAAATATTCTTGATTTTAGAACTAGTCGGTTATTACATGATGCACGATATAAATAGCAGTATATGATAAAAACAGATATGCCATTTATTTTTACTTATGTTGATATGAAAGTTTGTTGTAACCGTCAGGTTTCTGTTACTGTCTCTCATAGTGTCTTCCCCCAGACCCATCTTTATGTCGATGGAAAAATGTTTAGTGAGCAAGAACAGACTGACCTTGATCAGTTTATCCTATATGGAGGCTGTCAGTCAGATTCTTCTAAATTATCTAAAGATGGTCATGGGAAAATCGCACCTTCTGGTAAACAGTTAACCTGGAATAAAAAAGTTTAGGAAAATGACCATATACTATATATTTAGCATATAAATGGTATTTCATTCTATTTGGCATATGTCAAGGATAGTTTTTATTGCAATCATTCTATAATATATAAGTATTAGATGTATTTTTATCTTTATTTTTGAGTCTTTTTAGGATAATAAATAAAATTACATCTTTATAGTTTCGGAAAAAACATCAATTTATGGTAGAAGTTTTAATGCATGAAAATTCATTATACAAATCACATGATTCGTTATAAATTTTTTTTACTGACTGTTGTAAAATACAATAGTTCTCGGGGGTTAGAATTTGTTGACATAAAAAAATTCAAGCAAACATTCGTGATATATTTTTTTTTCTAACTTTGAATATACTATGTGAGAAAGCAGTACTTTCAGATCCTTGATTCGATTCACAGCAATATAGCTTATTCAAAGTTGAAGATCACAACCCTCAAATAATACGCTATTAAACTAAAATCCATTCTTTTTGTAGTCAAATGTGTATTTTAAATTTGGTTGTCACACGGCACTACATATAGCGATTCACAACTAAATATTAAAGTAGCCAAATGCGCCTTAACAAGTTATTAATGTTGATAACATAATCCCAAATATAGAAAATGTATTATTGATAGCTGTGTTCAATAATTGTGTACCAAATTTAGTAAACATGTTAAATAATTATAATGCCAAATTAGTTGACTCATGTTGAATTATTGCAATGCCGAGTCATTTATATTATATACTGCTTCATATCAGATTCTTATGTACAGTACTAAATAAAAATAAGTCATAATTTATAATAAAAAGGTTATCTTAACTACAAAGTTCTGACTTGTTTTTTTAAAAAATTTTTATAAAATTGCTTACCATATTATCATTATATTGTTGTCAAATGTTTTATTGAAGGTCTTCAAGAAGAATTTGCATAAAAAAGAACTATATATTATAAAAAAAGTCAAAGTCAAAGATCCAGACCATTTGATCATTAAAGAGGGACACTGTTACAATGCTGGAACTAGTCATATTGAAAAAATAAACATATTTTATGATCCTCAGAAAATAAGCTAATCGAATTTTTATACAAACATAAATTTTGATAAAATGTTCTATCTTTCATAGTTTCTAAGGTATGATCATCATTCTTCTATGTGAAGCATATGCAAGATGAGAAAGGTCCAACAGACTTTCCAGATTTTAAACCATTAGGCTACACTATATGGAATAATATGAATGTATCCACTTAGACAAAAGATGAAATTACTATTCTTTGATATAATCTATCATTTTTATCTTTATAGACTAACTTAATTTTTTTATCTTTGGTCAAGCATAAAACACAAAAAATGATATGTCTGTTTACAAAGGACCAATCTCAAGAATATATCCAATGCTTGTGAACTTCGAATGATTTTCTAGTAAGTAATCTTTTTTTTTTTTTTTTTTGGTATTAAGGTGACCTCTTTGGTTTTTTGACTTTTATTGATCACTTATCAGTATTGTGGTTCAATGAACCATTACAGAAGAGCATACAATTGGTTACACATGTAACTTTTCTATATTACCTATTTAAGGAGTCTGCCTGAAGGTTTTCTACCAATTGCTATACCTAACACCCTTGCTTGGGTGTTCTACTTTAAACCCTCTGAACCTGTAATCTGTATTAACATCACTGGTCATCTCAAATGTACCAGATCATCATCCTTAACCTTAGAACTAATTTATCCTTGAAATAAACCTTCCAGAGCCTTTTGTACCTATTTTTACAGCTGACCTAGGTATCGTTATGGCAAAACCAACACTTGTAGTTAGGGCTGACCATTAAACCACTATGCCCTTGTAGAGTTCACACAAACCCCAGCATCTACTTCACAGCATATCTGAAATACTTTAGTATACTCCTGCCAGTTCACCAAACTCCCAATCCAGATAGCCCAGTAGAACTTACGACCAGTCCATTGGTATATCAGGTTGGCCCGATATTCTTTTTCTTTGGCTCGATCCGGCAGCCTGGTTGGTGGTACCCCCTACCTAGAAGTTTTTGCCCATCCGGCTACTTCGACCTTGGTATCCATTTCATAAGGCTAGCCTTTACAGTAGGGTCATTGAAGATCTGGCTACTTCTTTACTCGAGTCTTCCCAAATGGACTTTTTGTTACCTAATTTCAACATATTTACACAGCCACAAGGACTTATCTAGTGTTTGCACTGCCTATTGCCAGTTTGCATTCCTTTGTGTAACTACAACCTTGTCCCAAAGGACAATGT